ATTAAGAATTTAATTTCCACCATTGCTAGCGTGGTGGGAAAATAGCATTTGGTGGGAAAATAACAAAACCTGGTGGGAAAATATCACCAGCCCTTATGTAATGATCCCGTGACTGTTTAGATTACTAGAGATGGGAAGTTTAATCGGCACTAAGTACCGATCAGCGTGATAGAAAGAACTGAAATCGTTTCTAACACAGCGCGAATATGAGGACGACTGATATTTACATGATAAAAGGACAATATAGGATGATTTTACCCTCCTTGCAATATTTTGAAAAGAGAATACGATAATAGTGGCGCTATAGTATAGAAAATGCTATCTCGGCGTTGAAGATGCATGACGAGTACTGCGTTAAAATCAGCTCACTAGCAACCACGTAGATGTAATTTTATGTTTCACAAGGTCTCGAAAATTTTAAAGTGACCAAAAATATAGCGAATATGAAATTATAAGAATTATACAGTAAGTAACAGTCACAAGAGCAAGCAAAGCTCACTTTGTTCGCGGTTCAAGGCTAGGGTACGGAAGAAAGGTTCATAGTGACTTATAGAGTTATTTTCCCTAAGTAGTAGTGTGGTCCGTAGTGAGTGAGATTCTACGAAGTGAATAAAGCATAATGACATTCTTCTCGTTGCAACTGATCCCGCTCACCTTCAAGTCCAAGAACAACGTCATCTGCGGATCGAGCCATGGATCGGATACAGGCCACGACGATCAAGCGCGGCGGCGACCCAAACCCTCTCGACACTACAGGCCTTTGCCTGCTGTCTCTCGATGGCGGCGGCGTGCGCGGTCTCTCGACTCTATACATCCTAAAGAGCGTCATGAATCGGCTAAACCACGAACGGAAGAATAACAACCTGCCTCCGGTGAAGCCATGCGAGGTGTTTGACCTTATCGGCGGTACCAGTACCGGCGGGTAGGCACACCTGCCGTTTAATGACTGTCCAAGGCTCCCTACTTATTCGGGGAGATCTAGAGAAGCTGGAAGTTAGGCTCAACGGAAATACTTCTACTTTGGCGGAGTACAAGCAGATTGAGCCGGTTTATGGGGTTCGTCGTACAAGGGAGGCGGAGTGGCGTAAGGCTGATCTGGGGCTGTGGCACTTGGTTCATAGCGCCTTTCTTTCTTTCTTTCTTTCTTT